GTGAAGTTGTTCTGGGCGATAAGATGTGAAACCAGTCGATAAAAAAATGGATCGCTAATTTTGCGTCAAACATTATTCCTCAACACATGATTAGCTATATCTGAGTGAGTTGGATGCAATGACCTTCGATTGTTACAGAAATGATGGTATTTAAAACCGCAATACTGGAAAATGAAATTTACAATAAAATTTTGCCATCTTCATCACGAATAGTGAAAAGTTGAAAATCAGTACAAGATTCGATAAATTTGAAATAAAAGATGTTACGAAATGTTCATTGACTCGGTTTTAGAGCAACATGTGTGGGTTTTTTTAACCCTCAAACCAAAAACGTCTGTCCGTCTGTCTGTCTGTAAACAATTTTTCAAAATGCTACTCCTCCTACAGTTTTGGTCCGATTTCAGTATAACTTGGCACACAAGTAGACTACACTAAGATACATAATTCTGTGTATCGGTTTTCGAGCATAAACGGTGTTGCCGTGGTTACTAAAAATAGAAATTTCTGTAAAATTCTTTCAAAATGCTACTCCTCCTACAGTTTTGGTCTGATTTCAATATAACTTGGCACTCAAGTAGACTACACTAAGATACATAATTCTGTGTATCGGTTTTCGATTTCGATGAACGGTGTTGCAGTGGTTACTAAAAATGGAAATTTCTGTAAAATTCTTTCAAAATGCTACTCCTCGTACAGTTTTGGTCTGATTTCAATATAATTTGGCACACAAGTAGACTACACTAAGATACATAATTCTGTGTATCGGTTTTCGATTTCGATAAACGGTGTTGCCGTGGTTACTAAAAATAGAAATTTCTGTAAAATTCTTTCAAAATGCTACTCCTCCTACAGATTTGGTCTGATTTCAGTATAACTTGGCACACAAGTAGACTACACTAAGATACATAATTCTGTATATCGGTTTTCGATGAACGGTGTTGCCGTGGTTACTAAAAATAGAAATTTCTGTAAAATTCTTTCAAAATGCTACTCCTCCTACAGTTTTGGTGTGATTTCAGTATAACTTGGCACACAAGTAGACTGCACTAAGATACATAATTCTGTATATCGGTTTTCGATTTCGATGAACGGTGTTGCAGTGGTTACTAAAAATGGAAATTTCTGTAAAATTCTTTCAAAATGCTACTCCTCCTACAGTTTTGGTCTGATTTCAATATAATTTGGCACACAAGTAGACTACACTAAGATACATAATTCTGTGTATCGGTTTTCGATTTCGATAAACGGTGTTGCCGTGGTTACTAAAAATAGAAATTTCTGTAAAATTCTTTCAAAATGCTACTTTTCTCTTCCTTTGCTCTACTCCTCCTACAGATTTGGTCTGATTTCAGTATAACTTGGCACACAAGTAGACTACACTAAGATACATAATTCTGTATATCGGTTTTCGATGAACGGTGTTGCCGTGGTTACTAAAAATAGAAATTTCTGTAAAATTCTTTCAAAATGCTACTCCTCCTACAGTTTTGGTGTGATTTCAGTATAACTTGGCACACAAGTAGACTGCACTAAGATACATAATTCTGTATATCGGTTTTCAATATCGATGAAAGGTGTTGCAGTGGTTACTAAAAATAGAAATTTCTGTAAAATTGTTTCAAAATGCTACTCCTCCTACAGTTTTGGTGTGATTTCAGTATAACTTGGCACACAAGTAGACTACACTAAGATACATAATTCTATTTATTGGTTTTTGATTTCGATGAATGATGTTGCAGTGGTTCCTAAAAATAGAAATTTCTGTAAAATTGTTTCAAAATGCTACTCCTCCTACAGTTTTGGTGTGATTTCAGTATAACTTGGCACACAAGTAGACTACACTAAGATACATAATTCTATTTATTGGTTTTTAGCTCACCTCAACGAAGTTGGGGGAGCTTATGTAATACCCTCGGCGTCGGCGTCGGTGTCGGCGTCGGCGTCGGCGTCCGTGTCGGCGTCGGCATCCCAGGTTAAGGTTAAGTTTTTTGGAGCAGTTTTCTTTTTAAGTACTTCTATGTCCTATATTGATAAGACATGCATGGAAGATGGTTCTAGTGTGTTTCATTGTACCAGTCAAAGTTTCAGATGCTGCAGTTTCAGCAAAGGAATGAGCAAGTTAATGTTTTTGGAGCAGGTTAACATTTTTGGTGCAGTTTTTGGTGCAGGTTTCATTTCCAAGTAACTATAAGCCCTGTGTTGACCAAACTTGCATGGATGATACATCTAAGGATGCATACTACCGGGCTTGCTTCGGATGCTGAATCTGACCTACATTTTCCGGTTGAGTGAACAGGTTAAAGTTTTTGGTTCAGGTTTCATTTCCAAGTAACTACAAGTCCTATGTTGACCAAACTTGCATGGATGATACATCTAAGAATGCATACTACCGGGCTTGCTTCGGATGCTGAATCTGACCTACATTTTCTGGTTGAGTGAACAGGTTAAAGTTTTTGGTGCAGGTTTCATTTCCAAGTAACTATGAGTTCTTTAATGACCAGTCTTGCATGGATGATACATCTAAGGATGCATACTACCAGGCTTGCTTCGGATGCTGTATCTGACCTACTTTTTGTGGATGAGTGAAAATGTTAGTTTTTGATATATGTTTCATTTCCAATTAACTATGAGCCCTATAATGAGCAAACTTGCATGGACGATACATCTTAGGATGCACACTAATGGACTTGCTTCGGATGCTGAATTTGACATACATTTTTCAGATAATAGACCAGGTAAAAGTTATGGTTGCAGGTCTATTTCCAAAAAACTATAAGGCTAATATAACATAGTATAAATCAAACTTGCACAAATGTTGCATCAAGAGATGAAAACTCTCAAATTGCTTCAGATGCTGGATTTTGATTACATTTTCATTAAGAAGAACTAGTTTAAATTTTTTATGTAGGTCTATTTCAAAGTATCAGATCAAAATTGCTTAAATATTTTCATTTTTGGAATGTACACTTTTTTGTTGGTTAATTGTGTGACTTTGCCTTACTTAAAGACAACATTCGTTGAGGTGAGCTCTGTAATCTCTGATTACCTATGTTTGATTTCGATGAATGATGTTGCAGTGGTTCCTAAAAATAGAAATTTCTGTAAAATTGTTTCAAAATGCTACTCCTCCTACAGTTTTGGTGTGATTTCAGTATAACTTGGCACACAAGTAGACTACACTAAGAACATAAAGAGACTTTATCAAGGATCATTATTCTATTCATTGCTATTGTAAAGTTTCAATTCCCAACTGCTTAAGTACTTTTCTCTTCCTTTGCTCTAAGTACAAACCAGTAGAGCTTCAGTCTCGACAGAGACTTCTGGTTTCTCTTTTATCATGCCTCCATATCTGTGTCTTTGAACTCTGTTTTTCTCTCTTTTTCTGGTTATTGAAGAGAATTTTATGCCTGTATTTTTTAACATGCTTCATGGTCATTAGATGGCATGCCGTGCACCTTTCTGATTCATCTACGGTCCAGACATTTGAATGCAAAATGACCCACCTTTTATCATAAAAAAGAATGTAAAGTGTTTTCTTTTTTACCCAGTCTTTTCATAATTGGTTATTATAACCATGCTGGCGAATAATCATGAGCATGTATAATGATCCGAATTTACTTTCTCTTTTGAGACTTCTTAAATTTGTCCAGAAATTTGGCCGATGGGTGTCACCAATTAAGAGCAGATATGTGTTGCAAAACCTGCTCTACAACGTAAAAATAATTCAAAGGAGAATGTATACGTAATGTCCTTCGGAGGTGTTTTTAATTGAAAAGATGAGTATTGCAATTGAAAACAAGCACTGTTCAAATTGTTCATGATTCAATCCTTGTCCCCTTTCTTCTTAATCAGTATTTTTTGTCTTAAAAAGTAAAGGAATCATTTTCATTTCAGTTTAGGAGAGTATGTTGAAATTGTAATATTTGAGGAATTTTCTGTTGTTGCTTTATCAAGTTCATTTATAAAGTGGTTGAAACACAGGCTTTGGTATAATGATGCATCAGAAAAATTCAGTAGTCTTTAATACAAGAGGAATATAAATTGAAGGATAAAGTTAAAATAGCATATCCAAGATGTCGCTGCCCTTAGACATTTAGTACATGAATTGCATGATACTAGTAATGGATAGAATTGAATCAAGGAAATTCTAGGAAGTAAAATGTCCCTCTAAAAAGGAGAAAGACTTTTCATTGAATTTGGCAAGACAAATAGGTAGAGACCATAGATAGGCCCCACCGGACGTGTTCTTTAACAAAGAAATCTGACAGATCACCTCAATGAAACTCCTGTACTAGTAAATGGTATACTCTAGTTGTCGGCATTAGAGGTTAACGTTTGGGAATGGATCTCCCAATTAGGTATCATTCCTTTGACCAAACTTGCATGCATGGATGATCATTTAGGATTGCATCTTACCAGACATGCATTGGACACTGCAACGGTATTTCATTAGAGTTTGAAATCGGTCAATTCTACAGTAACTTTTACCCCTACCCAGACCAAACTTACATGGTTGATGCTTCTAAGGATGCAAACAGCCAGACCTGAATGAGGTTTTTCTTATGAATTGAATCGTCTTGATGAATGTACATGTCGGTGTATGCAGAAAGTCCATTCTGTAGTAACACAAGTAACTGAAACTGAAAGCGTTAACTGAGCAACACACCTGGATGATACCTTAGAAATGCACACTTCCAGAATATCCATCAGGTGCAAGGCTTTGCATTGTTATAACATTCATGTCTGTAAGCGCTTACTTGTTCATCGTCTTAAGTTCTTTTTCAGTAAAAATTTTAAACAGTGTGTCTTTTATTGAATTCGATTTGGTATTTTGTTCATTCAAACGGTTAAACGAAATAATTCATCGACCTTTCTCTCCTTGACATAGAAAGTACTAGTGAATTTTTGTTTCAGATAGTTTTCTAAGTGTTTTCCTTATTTGACTGGAATACAATCGGCTTGACAATCCCTTTCATGGAATATCCTTTCTGTCGTTTCAGAATGGCTTTTGCACAATGGTTACAATGCAGACTTTGAAATGATGGATGCATCAAAGTTAAATCGGATTCTGTGCCACTTTTACGGAGACGCCGTGTCAATTTCTACTCTTCCTTTAGCAATGTTTCCGACCATGCTGACGCTTCACCTGAGTTCAGCTCCGCTCTATCGCAATATCGATATTGAAAATGACGCAGAATTCAGGTCCTCTAATAGTATGATAACCCGTAACCCTGTATATCTTGACGATGCGGAAAGAGCAGAAGTAGGCTCAACAAACATATCCATTACTTTTACCGATTTGAAGAAAGTATATGCATCTTCAGTACTTGGACTACATGATCGTTATACATTGCAGAACAAAGTGTGGCTTGATATCAATTTATATTTTGGAGGGTTTACCCGCCAATTGCTGCGAAACATGTCCAAGAAGACATTTGTAAGCTGTAGGGACCTTAACACAGGACGAAAGTATTACAAAGTTCTTGATCCGAAGGTTTCTCTGCAGATTGCGGCTAGAATGTATGAACAACCAGGGAATCTTCACTGCCCTATTTACTCGTTTGAACTCTATCTCTCAAAACTTAATCCAGATTCTCAGGTTTTCTTCCAACAGCCAACAAGTTACGAGGAGTTTAATAAAACAGGTTGTTGGTATTCCTCCACTCCAATCGGCAAGAACAACCAGAGTCGAAAATTAACCAGTATCTGTCAAAGTGTAGGAATTAATCTGAATTTTCGCAACACCTCGATTCGTCACTTGTGTAGGGCTATCCGAGACAGATACCCCGAATACACGCCCTCCTATAGTGATAGACTTTTCCAAATCCTAACGACAGATGAATCAAACTCCGAGTATGAAAACATGATGTGATTGTAACACTCACGGACGAATAAATTCGTCCCATAGATATTTATATATTTATGTCTGCATAGCAAAGTTTATTATGACATTAAGCTCAAACAAAGTTTGAAGGTTTTTCTACTTTATATGTTCTGTATTCAGTTCGTGGTGTTGTTTCAAAGTAAAAAAAACGTTGTTTCATACCAAGATGTTTTAAGAAAACCTAGCATTGTACGTTGTATTTTTGAGCAGATTAGTCTTTCAAATAAAAGTAACATTTAAGATACATATATTTCATTTTTTAGCTCTACTGCTCAGAGACCAGAAGAGCTTATGCGATAGTAATGCGTCCGTCGTCCGTCCGTCTGTCTGTCTGTCTGTCTGTAAACAATTTTTCAAAATGCTACTCCTCCTACAGTTTTGATCCAATTTCAATATAACTTGGCACACAAGTAGACTACACTAAGATACATAATTCTGTGCATCGGTTTTTGATTTTGATGAACGGTGTTGCCGTTGTTTCTAAAAATATAAATTTCTGTGAAATTCTTTCAAAATGCTACTCCTCTTACAGTTTTGATCCAATTTCAATATAATTTGGCACACAAGTAGACTACACTAAGATACATAATTCTGTGCATCGGTTTTGGATTTCAATGAACGGTGTTGCCGTGGTTACTAAAAATAGAAATTTCTGTGAAATTCTTTCAAAATGCTACTCTTCCTACAGTTTAGTCTGATTTCAATATATCTTGACACACAAGTAGACCATACATAAGATACATAATTCTATATATCGGTTTTTGATTTCGATGAACGTTGTTGCCTTGGTTACTAAAAATAGAAATTTCTGTGAAATGCTTTCAAAATGCTAATTCTCCTACAGTTTTGATCCAATTTCAATATAACTTGGCACACAAGTAGACTACACTAAGATACATAATTCTGTGCATCGGTTTTTGATTTCGATGAACGGTGTTGCCATGGTTACTAAAAATAGAAATTTCTGAGAAATTCTTTCAAAATGCTACTCCTCCTACAGTTTTGGTCTGATTTCAATATAACTTGGCACAAGTAGACTACACTAAGATACATAATTCTGTGCATTTGTTTTTGATTTCGATGAACAGTGTTGCCGTGGTTACTAAAAATAGAAATTTCTGTAAAATTCTTTCAAAATGCTACTCCTCCTACAGTTTTGATCCAATTTCAATATAACTTGTCACACAAGTAGACTACACTAAGATACATAATTCTGTGCATCTGTTTTTCTTTTGATTAGCGGCAAGGATCATTTTCTTTTACTTATTGCTGTTTTAAAGTCTCAAGTCCCAACTGCTACTTTTCTCTTCCTTTGTTTTAAGTATAAACCAGTAGAGCTATAGTCTCGACAGAGACTTCTGGTTATCGCTAGAAATTGGGCATTGATCATTATTTTATGCTAGATATAGAAAACATAACACTTTAGTGAAATGCAACAAAAATCTTCGTGGAAAAGGTTGAATGTGGATAAATTGCACTGTTAATTTTGCAGTATTTTTTTCTGTGTATAAGATTGGTACTAAAGTATTTGGAGAGGTGCCATTACAACCTACTTAAAGTATGTTGACATAACAAGTGATCAGAACTCAAAATTGACATATACAATTGTGTGGACACTTCTACTCGAGCAGGGAGAGGATCAACATACAAATTCTATCTATAGTGTGTGAAATCTAATGTGATTTTTTAAAACTAAGATGCAAAATAATTCTAAACACTGATTTTCATTTCATTTTATGGATCGGTGACTAACTTTATGGCTTTATCCATCTTAAGGATGTACGCAAGGTACCTTACCTACTGTTCATTTTTCAAGATATTCTTAATTTAAGATTATAGTGCAAAAAATCAGCATACATTATCAGGGTTTTTGGAAGATATCAAATTAAGAAAAATTTTGCAGTATTCAAAGAAAAATGTAAAAAAAAAAAAATAATAATAAAAAAAAAATTACTAAGCATAAATTCTAGATTTTTTTCATTAAAATTTGTTTTAGAAGAGGTTTACAAATCCATATTTAGACTTTTAAGGTATTGCACATAGGTCCTTCGTTTAGTGGAACTTTTCAATTCCAGGGAAGAGCCCAAACTGCGTTGCGTATGACCTGAAAAATATTTGTTGCTTTAGATGTGTGAAAGGTATCCATTGCCAAAGCTTTTTGGAAAAGTGCATCAAATATTTTCAACAAGTGTTATGCCATACAGAGCAAGACAGTTTTATGAATAGCTTGTGCGTCCATTCTACTTTTTTAATCACGTAGGTTAGTTCTGAAATCACATGTGGTGATGAATGACATCTTTCATTTTAGTATTTTCATATTTTGTTTCAGAATGGCTTGCTCATCACGACGACAATGACGCTTTTGAAATGCTTTCTCCTAGCGGTTTAAATGAACTTTTGTGTCATTTCTACAGAGAGAAGTTGCCAAGCCATTCTTTCCCATTAGCCTTATTTCCAAATATCCTCACAAGCTACATCAACTCCCCACCTTTCAACCGAAACATAAATGTTGAAATAGATAAAGAATTTGATTCGTCCAATGAAATGTTGAAGCTGTCAATAACGTTCCTGGATTTGAAGAAGCTCTATGCCTCACCAGCCGTAGCACTGAATGATCGGTACACACTTCAGAACAAAGTCTGGCTCGATATTAACATGTACTTTGGAAGCTTTGCTCGCCATTTATTGCGAAAAATGTGTAAGAGTTCATTTGTCTCTGGCACGGATGATGAAGACGGCAGGAAATTCTACTGCATCAAAGATCCTAACATTTCACCACATTCTATTACACGAATGTATGAACAGCCAGGAAAATGGGCATGTCCCGTTCATTCTTTCGAGATATACTTGTCCAAACTGCGTCCTGACAGTAATGTATTTTTCGTGCAACCCACATCAGAGGAAGATTTTAATCGGACTGGATGTTGGTATTCAACCAGTGCAATTGGTGTCCACAATCACAGCACAAAACTTGCTCAAATATGCACCGTCATTGGATTTCAGTTGAATTTCAGAAATACGTCATTACGTCATTTATCCAAGCGGATTCAGGAAAAGTATCCAACGTACAAGTCTGCTTATAGCGACAAGATTTTTCGTATTTTGACGACCAATGAGAACGAGTGACGTAGAACTTCAGCATATTATGAATTCCTTTTCCGGTTGAACTTGGAAGAGAAATGCCCTTAATTAATTATTCCATGCTTTTTTGTGTGCAATTTTCCTTTTAAAAAATGAAGTATAAAAGGTTTTCTTTCAAGAATAAAAAAAATCAAATTCTGTAGAATAAACCATGTTTTTTTTTTTTTAATTTAATAAACTGGATTCAACATTATAGACGTGTATTTGTGCATGCATCAGGTTGTGTCGAAGGTTTTGGTTACTATTTACAATGTAAATTGTTCATTATAAACTAAACTGATTAACGGGAAATAGTAGTAGTGCCTTATTCTGATGCTAGTAGCACCGTAGGCTTCATGTGAAGAAAAAATGTCAAACAAAAAATTTAAAGAAAAAAAAAATCATGTTTGCTGGAGTTGAATTTATAAGATTCATTTGCAAACTCTTCTAATTGTTGTTACATTTATAGAGAAAAAAGGTTTTAAAAAAGTACATATATGTGACGTCAAAATAAGACGGCCATGGTCTTTAATCTTTTCTTCAGAATACTGTATATGGCGATTTGGTATCTTTTGGTATGTAATTTTAACGGAAGTTAATCATTTTGGAGAAAAAATTTAGCTTGTTTTAAATTAATGACAAAGTGTTATTATCATTAGTAATCTCTTTTTTTTCAAATGCAAATAATATAACTGACCGAAGAATAATATGAAAAATATAGATTTAGAGCTTGTGGTGTTAATTGTTAAGCAGCATTCCGAGAAAAAGCCCACCAATCCCTACCCCCACCCCCACCCCCCTTAAGGACACAATTTTAAAAAGAGGATATTTCACTCAAAATTTTAGGTCTTTTTATAGCGAGAAAGATATAGTTATGCATTTGGAAGGAAGTGGGGGCCTTATATAATTTATTTATTTAAAATTTAATTTCATTTGTATCAAGGAATTTCATTGGCTGAATCATTCAGAGGAACATATAATATTTTGTGTAACATAACTTGCCTACGTCACAATGAGTTACGTCCATCACCGTCTTCTAATTTGTTGTTTAAGCTTAGCTGGCAGAGGATAGATTCAAAGAAATTTGATAAAAAGAGGAAATCTAAGATGCATATTTCACTCAAAATTTTAGGTCTTTTTATAGCGAGAAAGATATAGTTAAGCATTTGGAAGGAAGTGGAGGCCTTATTTTTTTTATTAATTTACATTTATTACACCTTAATGTCACTACTACCATTCATAGAATATGGATTTGAAGTACGAAAAAAAATCACTTAAGATTTTTTCAGAAAAGTAGGTTGGGTTCATAGAATAAATTTGGAAGGAAAAAAAGTTGAGATTTCGTACTGTTCATTGGAATGTACAGGCATTAATTTCTTCCTTGTATGGGAGTGCAGGACATTGGCCTTGACGTTGGGGCTGTTGTATATCTGGAGAAATGAACTACATTTTCTGGGAAATATTATGTTTTGGCTTTAAATAAAGCGTAATATATTCTAATAAATACATCCTGACGAGTTTTTATATGAATATTGAGGATTGGAGAAAAATGTTTTTCTTTTCTTTTTTCTAACGGAAGCATCTAAAAATGCTAAGAAATTGTTATTGAGACCTGAAATATAATTGCATGCTTTATTGTACTCTATAAGACTTTATGACATTGAAATAAAAAAGGAAAGCTAAAAATAATATCTGTTTTGTTGTAGCTGTTGTTATTGTTTTGTTATATGTGTTTTTTCTTGTTTTTTTTGTTTTTTTTTTGTTTAATTGTAAAGAATATGAAGATTTTAAAATATGACACCTTTTCGTTGCTACATTTCAGAATGGCTTCTTCATCATGAATTCAAAATAGACTTCGAACAGTTGCCACCCACAAACATGAATGACCTTTTATGTCAGTTCTACTACGAAACGTTGCCAAGCCATACTTTCCCATTAGCCTTATTTCCAAATATCCTCTCAAGCTACCTCAATTCTCCACCCTTCAACCGAAACATCAATGTTGAAAGAGATAAAGAATTTGATTCGTCCAATGAAATGTTAAAGCTTTCAGTTACGTTTCTGGATATGAGAAAGATTTACGCGTCACGAGCTGTAGCGCTGCATGACAGGCACACTTT